GCTGAAGTTAAGTGTTTTTGGTGAATTATGAAGGAAGTGTAACCCATGCTGGGATCCCCTGCGCTTGCTGACTGTTGTGTCTGCAGCTATCCTATGTCATAATTGACATCTGGTCTTCTGTCCTGCTTCTTTGGACTAATGATTTTTGGCAGGCAGTGAAAGGGTTAAACATGGTTATAATTGGAGCCTAGAGTTCATATGAGGTGTCCTGCTGGTTGCTGGGCAATAAGCTTTAGCCTCCAATTGCAGCAGTGACCTCAACTAATCCCCAAGGAAATCAGTTTCATTTTGCTGGGTCATCTTTGTGCCCTTTCAGAGTACAATCTGTCATGGTTTTGGAGCCTGTACTGACTCCAGTTTTGTCCAGAGACATGTGTTCTGTATGTCCAAAAAAAGTACAGTGAAATTATAGTTTCACCGCCTGGCACTTTTATGTTCTAGAGCTACACTTCCTGGATACACTTAAAATGGTAAGCTACACAATTTACTATTAATAGGTCTTGTTTGTTTAGGAAACCTACATGCTCTTTTCAGATTTGTTCCCTAAAGGATTTACCAAGTTGCTGTTGCACAGAGTCACAGCGGATTGACAGACTTACAGACCTTCAGTCCTTTGTACTGAAAAGAGCATAACTGAATTCTCAGCAAGTCTGTTACTGGAGCATAAAATCGTGAAGTGATGAGCTAATGATATCTAGCTCTTCTTAATGTGTAGATTGCAAAGCACTTTATAATGTAGATCAGTATAATTATCCACATATTACAGAGGGCGAAACCGAGGCACGGGAGTGGGGAATGATTTTCCCAAGATCATGCAATAGGCAAGTTGCAGAGCTGTTTCCTAAGTCCCAGTTTAATGCTCTATCTACAGTAAAACTCCATTAGTCCGGCATCCAATGCTCCGGGACTCCTGATGGTCCGGCACCATCAGGAACCCGGAAGTGCTGGGGCAGCCGGACAGGCTTCCCCCATTCAGCTACTGCTGAAACTGACCAGCAGCTGAATCGGGGAAGCCGGGAGCAGAGCAGCTGGGGTGCTGCCGGGTTGGTCCGGTAGAGCTGACC